AGTTGTCCATTTCGTCCTTCATCGAAATGGGTGACCCGGAAGCTTGGGACTCCTATTTCAACAGGAATGACTGCTTCGGTACCAAAGGCCAAGTGATAGGGTGTTTCACCTATTTCAGTTAATTATAACTTTAGAATGCGCTTTATGCATTATGCGTATTTGCTCTAAAGTAAGGCGTATCAGAAGAAGTAGAATACTACAGAAATTAATCAAATAAACTCGGTTTAAAGTAGTACCTGTGGCAGTTCGGCTCGTGGTTCTGTATGCCCAGAGGACGTTGTTGAGCTCGTCTGCCCACTTGGCCTTATGCTGCTCCAATCTTGGCCTTATACCTTCCAAAATGCATTGGTTAACAGATTCCACCATGCCATTGGACTCCGGGTGGTAAACGGAGGTGAACTGTAACTTGATCCCATAACTAGAACAGAAATCTCGGAATGAAGAGCAATTGAATTGAGTTCCATTATCAGCCACAATTTGATTCGGGATCCCATATCGGCAGATGATCGAGCTGAAAACAAAATCTTCGACCTTCTTGGAGGTAAGACTAGATAAAGGCCGAGCTTCAACCCATTTTGTGAAATAATCCACACCAACAACCAGATGGGTTACGCCACCAACCCCTTTCACGAATGGACCCAAAAGATCTAATCCCCACTACGCAAATGGCCATGGTGCTACCAAGGTCGTGAGTTCTTCTGCAGGTTGGTGAGTCAGATGTGTAAAGAATTGGCACTTTGGACATTTCTGAACAAAGTGAATGGCATCCTTATACATGTTTGGCCAGTAATATCCCTGCCGTAAGACTTTATGAGCTAGAGTTCTAGCACCGACGTGACTCCCACAGACACCTTCATGTACTTCTCGAAGTGCATACTCGGCTTCGTAGGGATTCAAGCATCGCAGAAGAGGAAGTGAAAAAGATCGCTTATAGAGAACCCCATTAACAAGTGTATACCGAGATACTTTCTTCCTCAACTTCATTGCCTCCTGCCTGTCCTCAAGTACTATTCCATCCCGTAGAAAGGAGATAATTGAGTCAGTCCAGCTTGGTGTGTCAGGGTTTGTGCTAATCTCCATCATCCGAGGCTTCATGAAGCTTGGTTCATCTAAGATCTCTACAAAAACGGATTTGGAACTTAAAGAGCTATTAGAGGCAAACTTAGAAAGCAAATGTGCCTATTCATTCTCAGCTCGGGGAATTTTACTCAGACAGAATTTCTGGAATTTTCACTTCAGCTCGGCCACCAAGGCTACATACTTTACCATCACAGGATCAACAACTTCACAGATTGAGTTAATTTGGTTTACCACCAACTGGGAGTCACTGTAGACTTGAATTGTTCTGATTTTCAACTCCAATGCTAGATGTAAACCAAGTAGTAGGGCTTCATATTCAGCCATGTTATTTGTTGCATCGAAATTGAACTTCAGGGCATGTTCGCTTCGATATCCTTCTGGACCAATCAAAAGAGCGCCAGCCCCAGAACCCTTGCTACTAGATGCCTCGTCAACATATAAGGTCCACTCGTTGGGCTCTGGATTAGAGGTTGAAGGACATGGGGTGCATTCGACAATAAAATCTGCTAATGCTTGAGCTCGGATGGCCGATCTCTGCTGAAATGTTATCTCAAACTCTCCCAGCTCTACTGCCCACTTAATTAGTCTTCCATAGCACTCTGGTTTCTGCAGAATCTGCCTGAGAGGTTGGTCGGTGAGAACGATAATTGGGTGTGACTGAAAATATGGCCTCAATTTCCTAGACGAAGTGACGACTGCTAATGCTTCTTTCTCAGCTATAGGGTATCTCAGCTCTGCTCCGTGCAGCACGCTGCTGATATAATAAATTGGTTTCTGCTGCCTAGAATCTTCTCTCACCAGAACTGAACTAATGGCCTCATCTGAAATCCCCAGGTACAAATAAAGAAGTTCTCCATCTATAGCTTTAGTTAACAGAGGCGGTGAACTAAGATAAGACTTTAGTTCTTCAAATGCAGCTTGACATTCCTGGTTCCATTCAAACTTCTTGTGCTTTCCTGATTCGTCTTTTTGGGCGGCCGACCTCATAATTTTGAAAAACGGTAGACATTTATCTGCTGACTTCGATATGAACCGATGCAGAGCTGTCACCCTTCCAGTCAGCCTTTGTATATCCTTCACTGATTTCGGCGGTTCCATCTCGGCAATTGCTCTGATTTTCTCTGGATTGACCTCAATTCCCCTTCGGGACACCATGAAACCTAGAAATTTGCCGGACTCCACTCCGAAAATGCATTTGGCTGGATTTAACCGCATCCTGTTCTTTCTGAGGTTGTTAAAGGTTTCGTCGAGGTCAGCGAGATGGTCTTCTGCTTTGAGGCTCTTTACCACAATGTCATCGACATATACTTCCAGATTTTTGCCAATCTGAGCGTGGAAGACAATGGTCACCATTTTCTGATAAGTAGCACCTGCATTCTTCAAGCCAAACGGCATCATGACATAACAATAAATTTCATCGCCAGCATAGAACGCAGTTTTCTCTTCGTCTTCTGGAGCCATTGTCACCTGGTGATACCCCGAATATGCGTCCAAAAGGCTTAACCTCTCATTGCCTGAAGCCGCTTCAACTAGTTTGTCTATACTCGGCATTGGATAGCAATCCTTAGGGCAGGCGTTGTTAAGATTTGTATAATCAATGCACATTCGCCATTTGCCATTTGCCTTTTTCACTAGAACTGGGTTAGCCACCCATTCACAGTAATCAACTTTTCTGATAAAACCAGCCTGTAGGAGCTTTGTTACCTCCTCTTTAATAGCCTGAAGCCTCTCACCCCCGAAGAGATGCCGCTTCTGGGCCACTGGTTTTTTCAATGGATTGGTGCTGAGCTTATGTTGAGAGACTGAATTTGGAATCCCTGGCATGTCTGCCGAGGTCCATGCAAATACATCATTATTAGCTTGAAGAAAGGCTATTAGCTCTGCTCTTTCTTATGGGCTCAATCTAGTTCCGATCTGTGTCTTTCGGCTCGGATCTCTGTCATCAATGAGTATTTCTTCAACGTCTTCAACCGGAGCAGCTCTGGTTTCATCTTCTGGTCGATTATCGACGATCTATACACCCATAACCTGCTGATTATCGTGAATTTGCTGGGGAATGACCTCGGGTGTCTTATCTTTGCCCTTCGTTGGTTGTGTTATCGAGGTGATATAATAGTGTCTGGCCACCTCCTGGTTTCCTCGCAATGTTGCTATTCCCATAGGAGTGGGGAATTTCATGCAGAGGTGAGATTGGGAAACCACAGCTCGGATTTCGGTCAATGTGGGTCGACCAATAACAATGTTGAAAGAGGACGCCATTTTGACGACGAGGAACCGGACCGACGAGGTTACATAGGTTCTGCCACTTCCAAAAGCCACATGGAGAGTAAGAACTCCTTCTACCGGAACAGGCTGGTTGTTGAAACCATAGATAGGACCATCATACTTCTGCAACAAAGCTGGATCTAGTCCCAGACTCTCGAAACAGTGGAAATACATGATGTCTGGTGCACTCCCGGTGTCAACAAGGACACGCTGTACTTCATAGTTATTGATCATGACGGAAGTGACCAGAGGATCATTGTGAGGTGTAACAACTGTGTCGAGGTCAGCAGATGTGAAAGTAATGGGCTGATTTTTCCACTCAGCATCGTCAATCTTTCGCTTCTGAGCTCGATTTTGATGCTTAACTTCTCTGACATACAGCTTTCGCTGTTTAGAGCTCAGTCCACCTGCTTCAAGGCCTCCCGTAATCATATGTATGATTCTAGC